CCCCAAAACCCCAAAACCCCAAAACCCCAAAACCCCAATTTAAAATATTTTACTGAAATAGTTTAAAATCTGCGCCATTATGCGGACAGGTAATTCATTTAGTGTCAGAACTGGATTTGGGCCGTGCATAGACTTTATAGTTGTTACTAGCAGCTTCGAAGAGCATAATAACCTATCTAGACCAAATAAAAGCGAATAGGCTCGCCAAGAAGTCTATCGGGGCCTTTGCAAGGGAGAATAGGGTTGGAAACCCCAAGTTCAGAAGGCACGAGAAGAGCTGAGACGGAGCTAGAGTAAGAGCTTGGGCGCTGAAGGTTTAGCAACAGAAGGCAGAGTGGATTTTTGATAAGGACAAGTTGAGTTTTGACGCCCCGATGTACCTTGATATGACTAAGACTGGGTTTCTGCAGGAGTTTGACCATGAGACTCAGGAAATTTTTGACTGGTTTAGTGAGGAGAATAGGTATAGAAGGCCACAACTCACTGAGATCCATAATCGGTAGGGAGAATTTGTGGGGATTTTGGGGATAAACACAGGCGTGTTTGCAGGTAGAGGATATATTTCTACAGTACATTAGCAAACTCTTCCAATGCAGTTATTTCCTTGGTTTCATCTTGATTATAATAGAATAAAAGGAGGAATGATGGGGCTTAAAAACAGAGATATCCAGAACTAACAAAAATAAGGGGAACACAAAAAGATCTCTAAGGTAATACTCTAAACTCTCGGAAAACTACTTTCCCATCCTACTAACCCATCAATATATCCCAAAATTCTAACAAATACCACTAAAATCTCACAAATCTTCATAAAAGTTCCTTTTGAAATCTCTAAAATCCTTTTCAGTAATGAAAATTTAAATAACTCAAGTATTCTTTCAACAGCTTTTAAGAAGAAGCCTGAGTGTAAAGAGACCAAGATTCCACGGCTAAAGCAGAAAACTTTAAACAGCAACTTTAAACAAGAAGGACTCCAAAAGGAAAAACGCGTTGGTATGATCAGGACGACCAGGAATGAGGTTGACCAGACCAAAGTAGGTCTAATTCTGCTTATAATCTGGAGATAAGGCCTTTTGAATGTGATCTTAACATTTTAGCAGAAATAACCAATCAAAAATGAAGGAAATAGCCAAAATTATCAAAGCTCCACTTGGCAAACGAAAGCCTAAAGTTGACTTCATCGCTAAGAACAAACAGAAAATTCGGGAAATGTCTGCTGAAATCAAGAACCGGCAACCAAGGATCAGGCAGAATATGGACCCTAAGTTTATAAACAGAAAGAAAACACCCTGAGATCGGTCAAGAATGAACACAACTGGAATTCGGAAATTCGAAGTTGGAAAATGGAAGAAATAGTATCTCGATTCCAATGTTTACTCTAACTTAATTAACATCTCAATTACAAAGTGCGCAGACGGGGTTTTGGGGTTTTGGGGTTTTGGGGTTTTGGGG